ATGAGATGCAACCTCTGAAATTCGCCCAAGAGAAATTTTCTACACTCAGGAATAAACTGTAATTCAGACAGGACTAAAGCGTGGCAATACTTTCACATAATAACTATTTTCTATCTTAGACTATTTAATGCTATTTAGTACTGACGTTGCATTTGCGACGTTGAGTTGTTCAGGTTCAAAATGCACATTTGGTTGGATGTAGAAAAAATTGAGTTAGAGAGAGAAAAGATATCGCGGATAGCTTATTGTAACAACCTTAACTTGCGAAACACTAACTCTAACTCAAATAAAGTTGAGTTTTTAGATTTTGGCTTGAAGATATATGTAATAAAATAGTAATATTTATACATTCTAGAAATAATGTTTCTTTTTGAAATAATACTTAAGTATTTATATATATATATATATATATATATATATATATATATATATATATATATATTTCTTGAAATATTATATTAAATCTATAACATGATACACTGGCGTCTGGGGAATTATTTAGATGACTGATACATGATCGGCAGTCGTCGTAGGCTATATTAGAAAAAATGACACATGTTTGGCAGGGAAAAAATGCATTTTATTGAGTATTGGGGTACAAAAGGGAAAAAAATACAATTTGTGCCTATGAGAAAAAACGAACAAAAAAGGTGTTTCCTTGAAAGAAAATCATTTCAGGTAGGGAATAGAGTTCCCCTGGACTGCCAGTAACATTGTATACTTTTGAGGCATGAAGCCAGTGAATCTTTTAATGAGGAGCTGGATATTATGTTCACTCCTCCAGAAAGAGCCCCTTCCAGCTCTAAGAGAGATTGTGGGAGTGGTAAGAGGCCAAAGGCTGCTGTCCCAAACATGCTCTATTGAGTTCATGTCTGGAGAAAATGTTAGCCATTCCATTCGTGTGATTTCTTCCTCGAAAAGGAAATCATCCACAAAATTATAATGATGCACGTAAGGGACTAAAATAGGTCTCAGGAGATCTTACCTATAACGGCGACCGGTCAGAGCTCCAATTCGATTGATATAGAGATCGGTGCGCCCATCACTTCCGAGCCCGAACGTATGATTATTCCTTGTGGCACGTTCTCTCCAGATGAATATACGCCTATTATCAAAAGATGGAAAGAATTAAGGACTCATCACAGAAAATAACACTGGGTCATACATTTCGCCCCCTGTTCATATGCACTGTTGACCACTCCTTGCTAGCGCATCGGTACCTTGCAGTTAACTTAAGGTATCCGACTACGTTCGGAACCGTGATTTTGCAAAAAGGTATAAACGGATAATATTTATGATATTTAGTATCTTTCAGATTAGAAAACGTATATAAAATCGTTTTCAGAATATTATTACAATAAAAAACTATTTAAATACAATATTTTGACAAAAAATGAACATAGAATTACCAATTTTCAAAATATTCTCCTCTTATGAAAAATGATTCTGTTATAATAATATTTTGCCTGTCTATAACTCAGACCTCTGTACAGAGACTCAACTACAATTTTTAAAATATATAACTTAGAAGTGGGGTTATCCCTGTTTTACGACAACAGAGGAGAGAAATTTTAAGAAAAAAATGCCGATAATTATTTCAATTGGTTGTAACTCTGAAAATAATTTGAATTTTTAAAAAAAAAATAGTTCAGACTCGCTGGAGAAGTTTTTACTTTATATAAGCAAAATATTAATATTTTACAAACATTTTTTTTATAAAATGGAAACATTTTGAAAAAAGGTTATTCTAAGTTAATTTTTGCCAAAATATTGTTTTTAAATAATTTTGTTTTGTCAAAATGTCCTTAAAACAATTTTATACATGTATTCTAATCTAAGTGACCCTAAATATCACGAAAATTATTCATTTATACGCTTTTTTAAAATCCTGGTTTCGAACGTAGTCGGATAACTTAACACCAAAAAAATCCAACAAGCAAGTTACCTCTTGCTTGAAGACGGTTTCGGATAGTTTTTGTCGAAACTGTGATAACAGTAGAATAAATTGTTGTTGAAAAATAGTGTCTTCGAAATATTAGTGTTAAACATTGATCTTCATTGAACGTTGTAGCACCTCAGCAACCTTTTCCTGCTCTTTGGTCTACATTTCCAGTCTCTAAAAAACGTTTCCAGACCTTGGAAATCGCACTTTGTGAAACTCCAGTTGCTTCTGCTACTTCGGTTTCCGACTATCAACTCTGCAAGCTTCTAATTCGGTTAAATGATTTCGTTGAGACATCGCCCTCATCGAAGCAACGAACTCACTGAACGTCGATTCTTTTCTTCTGTGTACTTTGCCCTTCATTCTCATTCAATGGCGTCATTTTCGACGGCAAACAAATTGTGCATACTTCGAATTTTGAAAATGAAAAAAATTAACATTTATGATCTCTTTACCTGTTTTCTGCAAAACAAATGTGTTTATACCTTTTTATATAAGATTTACAATACCTTTTAGTAGTTAAAATCCACACAAAATAGACAAACTAAACAATGTTATAAGAATATTTTTTATAATTATTTTCAACTCAGTTATCTCATAGACTTCTCAAAAACATAAATACATTATAAATAACCTTATAAATTTTGATTCCAAATAACACTAGGATCACAGAATCAAATTGTTAGGGACCTTAAAGTGAAATAATTATTTTTCTTGCAGTTTTTCTCGCCATCACACATTCAAAAAAAATTCATTCACTTACAAATTTTAACATTTTTACGCAGGCCATTAACCAGCCAAGTTTCTCCAATGCAAAATGTTTATGATGTCTCAGGATGATCATCTAATGGTGTTACTTTTCATGTATCCTTGATAAATATTTTACTCAGAAATTTCCTGATTTTCATTTCTTTGAATTCTTTTGCAAGTACAATTTTTTATGCATTATTTTTATGTGTAATACTGTGATAATTTTAAAACTCTTAAGTAGTAAAGCTTCTCATTCACTTATTTTGAAATACTGGTTATTCTACTTTCTTCTTATGTTTTTTCGTATTAACCAATGGACTCGCTAGGAGAAAAGCCTATACTGTCAAACTAAGTTAACCTCACTTATTCAGCCCTAAGTCTAAAGCTTTTCGACTGGCAGGGTTTACTTATGCTTCCGTACTTATTGTTTGTTTCAGCGTAATTATATGTTTCCTTTCGCATACATATTCCACTGTTTGTTGAATTTTTTAAGAGGAGTTGGAAACCTCTCTCTATCTACTGAAAATGTTAAATTGGTTGTTTTCGATGTGCCTTTTCTCAAAATCTGTTATATGTACATGCTTGAAATTTTTCATACAATTAAAGTATACCTTTCTCATTCTAATGAAATGAGCTTTTAGCTAATTTTGAATTTTTTAATAATTTATGAAATAGTTTATCAAACTTTGCGAAATTTGACCCCTTTTTTAAGTAAAAAAATTTTTAAAAAATAAATTTTTGAGTTTTTACAAAAATCTTATTTTAGTATATATTAGCCATCATAAATATTTTACAAAAAATTTACATACCTGTGAACAGTAGTTTCTCAGAAAAGGTACATCGAACAACAAAATTTACATTTTGATATAAATTGATTTTAATGTATACAGTGAGGCTTCTAATTGGATAGTAAATAAAAAATAAAAGGCCCAATTTACAATAAAAGATACATTTTTTGGTTTTTTTTACATGTTCAATTTTTAAGCAAAAACGAAGCACTTTGCTTACATTTTTCGCCATTTAAATGGGCAAATTTCAATGATTATTTAAATATAGGTTTTAATGGCTTCTAATTACCATAGAGGTTAAAGTAAGGTATTTTAAGAAAGGTATAAATAAAATAAATGTAAAAATAAAAAAATGCAAAAATCTGAAATTGTCAAAAAAATAAGATTTTAGCCTTCCAACTGCCCTTAAAGCGGGTTATATAAAGAAAAAAAACACACTGTTACTCGAAACCTACTTATTTTGAAAAGATGTTCTATGGTTCGTAGGCTAGGCTTATGTCAACATTTAATATTTGCACAAAGAAGTTGAATTTTCAAAAGAATGGTAAAAGGCTTAATTTTGGTTAGATGATTTTAAACTCAAAATGAAATTTATTTTCTGCTGTATAAATAACCATAATCGATTATTTTTTATAAATGACTACTGAGTAGTGATTAGTACAATGTACATTGCTACATTTCATAACACCTGCTCCCTCCACGCATCGTCTCTTCAATCCAATCCAAGATCTTTTCCATCCGCTTTTTCGCGCGCTGTAATTGGGGCAATAAGTTATTTTTTCTTATTATAAAGAAGCTGTTAAATATACTTGATTTTTTTTTACTTGTAATTATTTATCAGGGGTCATCTCATCGAAATAAATTTCAAAGGTACTAAAACACCTTTGTTTTTCTTTAACTCAAGTTACTTTGATTTCTTACCATAAAAACACGATTATACCTAAAGTGTTTTCCCTTTGTGGTGGTACTTAAAATAAAAATTAATTTCTTGTTTTATTTTTTCCTTTATCTATGTACCAGAGAACATCTTTTCCACATAAGTAGATTCTGGAATTCCGAAAAAAAAATTTTGTTTTTCTTCCTCCCTATAAATTAAGCTTTTTAAAAATTATACAAGCGATTTTCTTTTTACTTAGTAAATATATTTTTAAATTTATTTACACAATAAAACTGAAAAATGTGCAACTTCTTTGTCACTCTTTTTCAATTACTACTATTACTTCACAATCTCCCTATATATATATATATATATAAAATATATCCATATATATATATATATATATATATATATATATGAAATATATACATATCTTGCTCAAATTTTCTATCGTTAATAAAATACTTTCTACACATCCATTCAAGTTCAAATACATCTTTTTAAACTAGTAGTGGAAGACACTTGATGTTAATACAGTTTTTTCAAATATTAATTCATTAATTCTATTTTAAATAATTAATAAATAGTTACAAACTAAAATAATAGTTATGCACTATATAAAAAGGAAAATTGCTCGCTGTGTACCTGTAGTGCAATGGATAGCATTTTGGACTTCTAATCCAAAAATCATGGATTCAAATCCTGTCTTTGGTGGCCTAATTTCTGAGAATGTAGTTTATGTATGAATAAATAGTAACCAACAAAAATAATAGTCCAACACCATATATAGAAAGAAAAATAGAAAACCGCTTTCTATTTTGTTACTTAATATGGTGATTCTGTTATATGTATATACATATTTATATTAATTGTAATTATTAAGCAAAAAAGAGCAACTAAAAAAATAATCTTTGTTCGCCTAAGTAGGAATTGACTTAAAAAAATGTTTTTTTATATTATATATACTTGTAAATTTTATTTGTGGTTTATCATGACTGGATAAGCTTCATTAAAAAATTTTCTGACATTCACCTTATATTACGCGAATGCTTACAGTTTTCTTTAGAGACTATAGACTGTTGCAAAAAATTTTTTTTTAAAAAGCACAAATATTTTTCAAATATCATGTTTGGAAGCTAATTGGCTTTCAAACTGGACGCAAAAGACTGGCTGTACTTCAACCTTTAGAGTCCATTGTATGTTATTTGCTAGAATCAATCTCTAGTGTATCCATCTCAAGCCTTTTGCTGACAAAGCACTACCACGATTAAAAGATGAAACGAAACATTCATAAATATCCTTTTTGAAACCTACCTTAAAGATCAGCTAAGCGCACAACAGTGGATGATAAATTTATGTCTCAATAAACAGCGAGTGAATAACATTAAGGATTAGTTAGAGTACCGAGTGGTGCATTAACCGTATTATAACTATTCACGTGATTCGAACGACACCAGGCAGGAAAACGGCAATTCGTATTCTGTCATTTCAAGCGAATAACGTCAGAAATGTAATTAACGTTACCGTTGCTATGGAAGAACGTTCGACATAGTTGGTGGAATTACTTTCCGCTTAAATCCGTTTATCGAATCTTGTTTTCAAAGCACCACATTTGATACTCAGATTAAGTAACCAAGAGTTCATATAAATGTAAATTAATAAGGGAAAGTACTACACGTTATTTATTGTAGTTTGAAAGCATTTTTTTTTTATGCGAAATTTCTGCTTGGGTCATGCGTATGTACTGTGTCTGAAAACCAAATAATCTATTTTGATAATTATATATATATATATATATATATATATGTGTGTGTGTGTGTGTGTGTGTGTGTGTGTGTGTGTGTGTGTGTGTGTGTGTGTGTGTGTGTGTGTGTGTGTGTGTGTGTGTGTGTGTGTGTGTGTGTGTGTGTGTGTGTGTGTGTGTGTGTGTGTGTGTGTGTGTGTGTGTGTGTGTGTGTGTGTGTGTGTGTGTGTGTGTGTGTGTGTGTGTGTGTGTGTGTGTGTGTGTGTGTGTGTGTGTGTGTGTGTGTGTGTGTGTGTGTGTGTGTGTGTGTGTGTGTGTGTGTGTGTGTGTGTGTGTGTGTGTCAGGTTTGAAAAGTTTAGGTTCAAAATTAAGGAAGTAATAAATGAAAATAGAGCGAACTCTTTACCATCGCGTAAGGATTTATGAGTAAACAAGCCTGTTAAAAGGTGCAACGAGCGCTGACGAAGGCGAACGAAGGAGACCACGCACCTGCGAGCTCCACGACCTGTCGAATCATCATGAGCGAATCAAGCGATTATATGGAACTTTCGCCGTCAAAATTTGACCAAGTTTCCGCATGCGCGAAACTTAGAGATACTGTCACAGGTATCTCAGCTCTTCATTTATCTATTCACGGGATGGACGGACGTTCTCCCAGCCCCGGAAATTCATTCATGGACATGTACATTTCCGGCAAACAGGCCATGATCAGGAGAAAAGAGGAGACGGTAAGTGAGCTTCAAACCATCCCACCATGTACTATCTCAGACTGCCAGGATCATAAGATTCCCTCTACCTCGGTAGAAGAGGAAAATAATTTTGTTCCCTCCCCTCCTGTTAATGAAAATAAGATTGAAAATAAAACTAAAATCAGTAGCAAATCTAAGAAAAAAATTTTGCAAAAAACGTAAACAGAAAGGTAAGGATTCTACGGAAGAGTTTATCTTTCCGAAAAAGACGGCCAGACCGATCTCTCCTACCTCCACCCAGGACCCCATAGAAACTAACAATAGTTTCTCCGACCTTGAACAGGATGTCGAGCATCCTCCTTCGATTGAAACAGTAACTACCGAAGTAGTTACACCCAAGACTTCCCCCTCACCCTATAATGCTTAAAATCAAAAACAATTTCAGAGAGCAAATTATATGCATCTCAGAAAAATTCCCTAATTTACGTAATAGAATCGTTAATGACGTAGTAAAAATGTTCTCCACCGACCATGAAGAATACAGAAAACTTAAACACTTTTTAGAGACTGATAAAGATTTCGAATTTTACATTCTCAAATGCCAAAAAGATAAACCAATTAAAGCCGTTATTAAAGGCCTCCCTAATTCAGCTTTAATTACTGATATCACTAACGACTTAAAATTAATCGGATTCAATATAGATAGCTGCACGCAACTAATCTCCAAAAGAACTAAAAATCCCTCCCATATTTCCTAATTACTTTACCAAGAAGCGATTTAAATAGTAAAATTTTGACATCAAAAAGTTGGGTTATTTGCAGGTGAAAGTAGAAGGTTACCTCGTTAGAGGAATAACCCAATGCTTCAACTGCAATAATTTCTACCATACTGCCGCGAATTGTTTTATGAAACCAAGATGCCTTAAATGCGGTAAAGACCATGCCACGCGAAATTGTCACATCAAAGAACGACAAGAAAACCCATTTGTATCAACTGCCAGGACTTCGGTCACTCGGCATGTTATACTAAATGTCCCAAATTCCCCCAACCCAAAAAAGGCACTGCCTTTTCCGACCCGATTAAAAGAAAAATTTTTTCAAGCAAATGGACAAAAGAGGGAATTTCCTTCGCTAACGTTGTTAGCGGAGAAATCCCCAATCAGATCGCCTCCGAAACCGAAAACCTAACTGCAAATAAAAAGGAAGACTCTTCCAGTGGATTCCTTACCCAAGATAATAACAGTTCAGATTTTTCCCAAGTTTTGGAACTTTTTAATACTATCTCAAACCTCGTAAAGAAAAACCCCAAAATTCTCGACCTTCTCTCTAAATTTAAAACAGCAAATTCCGATGAAGAAAAAAAATCTGCCTTCTGGCAGAAGCTACAATGAACAATATTTAATTTTCCCTATCATTCTTAATTGTAACTTTTATTTTTTACCCCTTAACTTTTTAAATTTCTCTCAAAATAATCGAATTTCTCTTTTTAAATTAAGTTAAAGTCACTTTCTATTTCAAAGTACATGATTTCAATCTTAAAAGCTCACTGCCATCCTCCAATCAACGATCGCTCCATAGCCAACGCCTCCTGCACTGCCATTGGACCTCCTCCTCTGAAGTCACGCCCCTCTCTTCAAGCCCAAGTTTCCAAAACCATGAAAATCAGAGTCCCAGATAGAGGATAGAAGAATGCTGACGCATTCTAGATTCCTGTTTACAAAATCATCCGTCAAAATCATCCGACGAAGGCGAACGCATACTAAGAAAGGACTTGGCTGGTGTCTCCTCGCTGCGATGTTGTATTTGGTAACACCCGGTTGCGCGGCAAAAGGTCCGCCATGTTAGATTATATATGATGAAAGCGTAATAAAGGAATATTGTAAAGATGATGCCCTCCTCATTTTACCAGCAGGCCTGGGGCCTGTCAAGAGCCGGCAGGATGATTTAAAGTACCGAAAAATATGCCACGAAACCAAACGAATTAACTTCAAAAAATATTTTTTTTCGAACGAGCGACTGCATTGAAAACGATACTACCATGGAGGACGACTCTTTCCGGCAGGAGTCAACACATCCAAAGAACCCTTCTTTTTTCCTGAATTTGATCTTAATAAGTTTAGTAGTTTGAAAAGCTTTCTTGACTGTTTTGATCAACAATGTTTGGAATATCAAAAAGACGAACAATGGAAGAAGCAAAATATTCCTAAATATCTCACGGGAGTTTATCTTAAATTTTGGTACGAAAACCATTTATTTGAAAAGTCTTACCAAGGAAGCAAAGAATTATTAATGACGGTGTTCGATACGACGAAACAAGAGGATATTCGAAAATTTCACAAATTAAAACTAAACGATACTAAAGAATTAATTTCCTTTTTTACGGAAAAACTTTCGTTGGGGAAGAAACTAAATTATGATGACAGTTCAATTGTGGAGAGCATATGACATTATCGAGTCCCATAGAATTTCAAAAGTTCCTAGTTATCAAGAAGATTTCGTCACCCTGCGAATGGATCTCAACCATGCGACAATTAATCGCAGTAACACCGGACAGCGCAGACGAAAAACCGGTAGATACTGGAAGTTATACCCGATGGAATCACGCATACGGTAGTGTACACAGAGGATTCCAGTCAAGAGGAAATCATGGACAGCCACATCAATCGCACATGATGAGATTCAGTGGAAGGCAACAGTTCAACAGTCAACCTAGGCAGTTTGTACAACAGAATAGACATAATCTTTACTCGCCCAGAAACGAAAATAACCAGAGGCAAGGATGACAACTAATTATTGAGTCAATGGTATGTTCCAAGCACTTTTGTACTCTAATTGACACAGGAAGCAATGTGTCATTAATTCCAATAAATTTAGCTAAACAATTAAAAAACATTAAAATTTTAAAAAATAGTAATGTAAAAATAAATCAAACTTGTGGGACTATTCATCCCAAAGGTATAATTAAAGTTTATATGAATATTGGATGTATATCTAAGCAAATAGATTTGTTTGTAATTGATACTAAATTGCCTTATATTATTTTAGGACTTGAATATTTACATTTATTTAAGCTTGACATTAGTATTCGTAACATGTGTATTTTTCAATGTGGTAAAAATTTAAGTAATATTAAATATGTAAATAAGTGTGTTGGTGAGTTGAGAACATATCATGGGACATATTGTAAAACTCTTAATAATGATCAAAATATGAACTACTATAATGCAAATAATGAAGATAATATTAACGTTAAGAATAATAAAGGTTTAGATCAAGTACC